ATTCTATTCTATTCTATTCTGAAATATTCTATTCTATTCTATTCTATTCTTCTTCATATGTATTATCTCATTCAAGATTAATTTTGGCTGTCTTGCCTTTGGGATCTATGAGGGGTCCTGCTTCAAATGTAACAACAAAATAGCCAACCAATAGAGATGTATTCATGTCTTAACAATGCAGGAAATCAGCGGGGCAGGAGTGTCTTTCTTTTTAATGCATTTATACCTTCTTTTGCATGTCAAATCACAGTTGTAGGTTTGTTTGGCTGGAGACTGTACGTAGATGTTTAGCTGAACACTTTTTCAGATGTTAAAAAATAAGTAGCAGTAATCAAGGAAACCCACCACAGTTAAAAGAACAACCTGAGCATCTCAAAATAAGTATGCAGGTGGGGTCAGAATCAGTCTGTTGACAAAATGCCTGTGTTCTGCAGGTTTGTGTCTGTGCTCCTCGCACCCTTTTGAGCTCTCTTCTTAGCTGTGCCTGTGGTCAGACGCTCAGGTAATACCTTGTTAACCTGGTCACTTTTTTCACTAACCGTCACCTTTCCCAAAGCTGACAGTAGCCTATTTGGAGGAAGATTTTATTGCTGCTTCTTTTCTCCACTGCTCTTCTTTTAACTATTTCATTCATCTTTTAAAAACATTGTAGTGATTATTGCTCTGTGGTCATTGCTGTCTCAGGTAGTGTCCATTTCACATTTTATGTGAAGGCTGCTTTGCAGGCAGATGTGAGCTGCTGTTAGAATGGGATGTCCTTTATTACATACATTATCTTGTTCTGGACTAAATTTTTCTGTCTTGATCACAACGTTTTCCTCAGTCCTGGTATATGCTGTTGCTGTCTGATGTAGTAATTTTGGGTCTATTGAACAATGACTTTTATACTTAGGGAAACTTCAGGGAAATGCCGCGTGATCCAAATAAATGATACATGCCTAACACTTACGTGAACAGTCTCTTCAGAGATAGAGTTCTCTCTTTAGAATAACTGACAGCAGTTGTCTTTAGAATATTTAAGCCTACTGGAAAGATATAGAAATGAAGAACTTCTCAAGCTACGGATGGTTAGACAACCAAGTACACTTCCTTTACAACCCAGTTTCTAAATGTTTTGCTGTGTCTGCTTTGCCTTTACTAAGTAGAATATGGAGAAAGAAAATACAGGATGAGAAAACTACTATAACAAAGCATGTCTGCACATGCAATCTATGAAACTCAGGATTGTAATGAGTGAAAAGTCCCCATTACCACCGTATTTAGAAACTATGCTGTCATTAAGCAGCCACTTCAGCAGATAGTGGGGTATACTCAAAGCTTTTGCAAATTTAAGCTGGGATTTTCAGAATCAGAAAATGCTAACAGGACTATCAGTAACTCACGCTACTCGAGCTATTATTCATATGGTGAGTTTATTGTGAATTAAGAATACAGACAGTGTTTTAATGATACATGTAAAGGCTGTCACATACGCACTCTGGTTTTCATTGTGCACTTGAGAGAAGCATTAATATAAACAAAGAAGCAAATAATTATATACACCTCCTTTCCCAGAAAATCTTTGAAGCAATTCCACCAGTGTGGCAGATCATTCTCCACATTTAACTATCCAGTAAATATATACATTAAAATGTATCTATCCACATTTTAATAATTATTCTTTGTTAGCATGTTTTATTTTGGTATCTTAGAAATGTGAATTAATTATATGGGTTTTGGTCTTGAATTTATTCTGTTGGGTTTTTTAAAAGTCTTTTAAGGCTAAATATGACCCACCACAATAATCAAAAAATGAGAAGAGAGGAAGAGGTAAAGCATTAGTCTCTCTACACTAGTATTTTGGTTTTATTTTGCATTTTTAAATGTCTGTGGAATACACATATTACCTCAGCTGAAATAAAGAAAAATATTTTGATAAGAAAGCAAAAGTAGGTCAGAAAGATCCACAACATAAACAGGTAAGTATAGTTCTCATAGTACTAGTTTATACTCCATTCTGGAAATAATCTATAATCTAAACATAATTGGTGTGTTTTTGAGAAGCCTATTTAACACGTCTTTTTGCTATCTTTGAGCCTTTCAGTGGTTTACTTTCATGGTTCAGGTGTCTTTTCAGACTTTGCCAAAACTATGGGCTCCTCTGTACCTGTAGTAATTGTTGCCTTTGGGGCAGATTTGAAAAAAATCAGTATTTTCATTAGTGCACAGTATAGCACATCCACGTACTTGAAAATTTAAATGTGGTAAATGCCGTTCAATTGTTTTCATGAATATCAGCTTTGGATTTTGTTTAATTTTCAGTTACTAGAAAATTAAGAAAACATTCTTTTCTGTACACATAGATTATTTTATTTTCATTGAGGGTTGAGAAAAGACAATCTTCATTTGGCTGTATCTTCAGGAATATTAGACTGACTATCTTTTTCTTCCTCCAACAAGATCAGTTCAGTTCTTGCTGAAGATGTCACAATGGTTCGAGAAACTGGAACATCAGATGAGGCCCCATCAATTTCAACTTTTCCACCCTTTGTTTCTTTAGGTGATAAACTTTCTTGTGCATCAAAAAATACATCAGGTTTATCTGATGGGCTATCTTCATCTGAGATTCTTCCTTCTTTATGATCCATCTCTTCTTTGTCAACAGTCTTAGCCTTTTTGGAAGGAGATGTGAAACCAAGCTTGGGAAATCTAAACCATCCAGTTTTTTCAGTTTGCTGAGAAGAATCGTTATCTGATGTGTCAGCAGGTTTCACATCTTCTGGAACTGATTTTTTTACTTCTGTTTTTGAATCTGCGCTTGTTTCCTCACCAGAAGATGAAAAGCCAATACTTGGAAGCCAAAATTTGAATTTTCCAGGAGATCTTTTACTATCAGTCTTTTCTTTTTCATTGGTTATGTCTTTTTCTTCATCTTCTAGTGCTTCAGCTACATCCTCATCTTTAGAGAGAGGACCTGCAGTTATTCCCTCTGGTGACTTATCAGGAAGACTCTCTTCAAGTTTACTGGAAGGCTTTACTTCAACAGCAAATGTTTTTAACTTTGGCAAACTTACTTCTCCACTAGATTCTTCAGTCTCACCGTGTGGTTTGTCAGATAGTTTAAGCTCGGCACTGCCAGTCCTCTGTGCTGCTACTCCGAAGCTTTCATCAGCACATTTAGGTTTGCTCACTGATACACCTTCTGTCAAAGATGGCTGCTGGACTAGCACTTCTAAGTTACTATGTGATTCAGGCAACTTCACCTTGAGCAATGAGAATCCCAAAGTAGCAGTTTTGACTTCTGATGAGAGAATCCCTGATTCTTTCAGTATTTCAGTAGTGTAAATCTCACACCTTTCAATAGCAACATGTTCAGGTTCTACTTTCTCACTCACTTCTTGGCCCTCTACATATGACCAATGAATGTCTTGCCCTGCACTTGAAAAGGAGGACTCTATGGTAGTAGTCATCTGTGCTGTTTTAATGTCAGGTTCAGTCAGTGTTAGAATTTTGCTTTTTGCTTTTTGAATACCACCCTCTAGAGCCTCTGGTGTTTCTTCAGGGGTAGCAGAGCTTGCTTGCAGTTGCACTACTTCAATGTCAGTACTAGATCCCTTTGGATCTGTTACCACTTTTGACACTGAAACATCAGTTTCAATTGGGAGAGCTTTGAAAGTGAATCTTGGTATTTTTAGTTTGGGAATTTTTATATTTACTTCTGGGCCACCTTGTGATTTGTCCGCTGTTTCCACTGTTACTCTGGCAGATGCTTCCGTATGATCTAGAGCTGGACTTTTCAGGCCAATAGATCCTTCTGATTTTTGAAACTGCATTTCTGCTACGCCTATTTCAGTTTTAGATACTGAATCAGCTTCTGACTTTGTCAAATTGATATAGTCTTCAAAACCCTTCACTTCTGAATGCAACACTCCGAACTTTGGAATCTTAAACTTGTATGTTTTAATTTTACTTGTTTCTGCTTTATCTTCTACTTGCACTTCCACCCCTGCAGACATGTCCTTTTCAACACTTTTCACTTGAAATTTCATTTCAGGATCTACTCTAGCAGTTTTAACATCCATCTTCACTCCTGGAACTTCTACCTTTAGATCTTCCAGCTTAGCTGTAACATAAGCACCATCTTCTGATCCCTTTGCTGTAGACAATTCACACGTAGGTCTTTTTAATTGGCTTCCTTCACTGTCTTTTCCTATAATTTTCATCTCACCCTTTATCTTTCCTTTTTTAATAACTGCCTCTTGATTTTGAATATCTAGCTCTTCCTTTGGAAGACTAACATCTATTTTCTCCTGTGTTGCATCCAGAGTAATTTCAGCTGACAGTTGTTTACATCCTATTCCTGAAGTCTCTAACTTAGTGGAACTTTCTACCTTTGGGACTTCTATAACCTGTGATTTGACTTTATGCTCTTGAAGAGTCAGAGTACACGTAGGAAACCTATTTGTTAAACTGTTGTCTTTGTCAATTTCTGAAGTACTGAGGTATGATTTAGACAATTCTGCTGAAGACACTGTGAATTCTGAAGTATGCATTTTTTGTCCTTCAGCACCATGCTTAACTATGTCTGCGTATGTTTCAGTTTTTGGAATATTCACTCTACTATCTGTTCTTTCTGTGGATAATAAAGTATCTCCTTCTATCTTTGACAAGCTAACATCAGAACTCTTCACAGAATCTCCTAATTTTGGAATCCCTTCTTTTCCAATAGTAATTTCAGCGACTGTGTGTGGTAATGAGAAGGTTTTTTCAGGCATACTTGTTTCAGTTTGTACTTTGGCAGAGGGAATGCCTGCCTGAGCTTTTTCCATACTTCTTTCAATATCAGCATCACCTTTTTTTTCCTTTAAGGATGTCCTGCCAAATGCAGGTATTCTGAATTTTGGCATTTTAAACCATCCCTGATGTTCTTCAGTCTGAACTTCTTCAGCTTTTATTTCATGTTCTTCTTTTAATTTTATTTCTTTCTCCTCAAGGCTCTCAATAGCTCCCTCTGTCATTGGTTTAAACACTGACTGGGGGCTTATGTCTACCTCTGGAGATTCAATGCCAGCTATCAGAACTTGGGGTGTTTTTATCTTACAAACACCTACTCCAGGATCTGACATATCAGATGTAAGTTCTGACGCTGGAACTCCCACAGCAATGTCAGCAATTTCGTTTGTCATTTTTAGCTGGGGTAGCTCAGCTTCTATTTTTGGAGAGCTGATCTCTGTCTCTGGGACTTTCCCTTTTGTCAGGGAGATTCCAAACTTTGGCTTCTGGAATTTGGGCATTTTAATCTTCCCTTCAGGACCTTCCAATTTTATCTTTCTTCCATCCACAACTGATGTTCTTTCTGTTACTATTTCAGGGCTCCTCAGTTCAACTGAAGCTTCTCCTCTGGGGAACTTAATACCTGTTTTTTGAATCGTATCTTCATCAGTAGAACTTGATTTTAGGACAACCTGTTGAAAACTCCCCTCTGAGGGAGGCAGAACAGCATCAATCTTTGCTGAGCTGACTCCCATTTCAGTTTGGGAGGCTCCAGTTTCTATTTTGGAAAACTCCAGGGTGGGGATATCAACATCAGCCAGTTTTATGCTTATTTGTGCCCCTTCTTCTGTCCTTTCAGAATGACTTCTTTCTATATCAGGTGTCTGTATTGAATCAACACCCTCTCTTTCTGTTTTAGGAATAGTAGCATCAGTTTCAGCTTTTGGTGAATGAGTCTGAGATTTGGGAACCTTGATCTTGGAGAGTGAAATTTTAGGCATGACAAATTGAGGCTTTTTAACTGGACTTTTTTGTTCAACGGATATTTCTAGGTCAAGGGCTGGCCCAGTACCTTGATCATCAGTTGCAGTTCCTCTCACTTCTGTGTCTATTCTGCTTGACATTACAGCAAGTTTATGATCTTCCAGATTTGCTCCAGAATCTGGTTTAACACTTGCTTCCTTCTTTGGTGACCAACTGAAGGATGGAAGTTTGAATTTTGGCTTTTTGAAATGTCCTTCTTTCTCTTCTCCATCTCCATCTTGCTTTATTTCCCCTTTGATTTTTAGTGCTACATCTGAATCCTGAATATCACTGTCTGGTTTTGGAATGGAAATGTCAGCTGATGGGAGGTGAACATCAGCCTCTGATGCCTTATTGTCAGCTTTGGTCATTTTGACTTTAGGGCTGTACGTTTCTGTTCCTGTACCACATTCCACCTCCAAATTTGGTCCTTCCACAGCCATGTCAGTTATTTCTACCATTGCTTTTAGTTGGGGAACCTTGACTTCTGATTTGGATTGGCTGACCTCTTTTTCTGACCCTTTCCCTTTAGAATGTATCATTCCAAACTTTGGCATTTGGAATTTAGACATTTTTGTTTTCCCTTCAGGACCTTCAATTTTTATCTCTATATCACCCACAGCAATTTCACTTGATGTTCTTTCAACACTTGTGTCAGGACTCTTCACCTCAAGGGAGCCTTCAGTTATCATCTTAACAACTGAGGTGGAGAGGCTGGCATTAGCAGCATCTGATTTCAATGTCAGGTCATCTTCTTCACATGTAGGAAGTATGACCTCACCTGTAGGCATGCTAACATCCATGTCTATTTTGGGAGCTTTGACTTCTGGTTTGGAAAATTCCGAAGTCAGGACTGTAACCTTTGGCATTTTTATGCCCATTCCTGCCCCTTCTCCACTACTCCCTTTCTCAGATTTCTGTATTGAAACACCTTCTTTGTCTTGTTTGGGACCACAAATGTCAGTTTCCAGTACGGGCAGAGACACCTGGACTTTTTGACCCTTAATTTTAGGGAATGAGATCTTTGGCATAGTAAATTGGGACTTCTTGTTTCTGCCCTTTTCACCATCTTTTTCTATTGATGTATCAAATTCCCCGTGAAGGTATTGATTCTCAGGGGTAGGAAATGTTAATTCAGATTCTGTGTCTCCAGATAAAGTAGACAAAGTGGGTTCTTCCAGATGTACCTCAACTTCAGAAGGAGCAACAGCTTCTTTTTTTGGTGACCAACTAAATGAAGGCAGTTTGAATTTTGACGTTTTAAATTTATTTTCTTTCTCCTCAGTGTCTTTCTCTCCTGAAACTACCTCCTGATCTACCTTGCACTCTAAATCTGGGCCATGGATTTCCACTTCTAGTTTTGGCATGGTAACTTCCATTGATGGGAGACTGACATCCAAGTTTGGTGCATCCAGAACAATTTCATGTGAAGGCTTGCCCATCTTTACACCTAATTCAGCATCAGAGATCTGAGTTGGTTTTTCAATATCAGTATCAGTCATATTATGTGTTATCCTTCCCTTTGAAATTTCAGATTCCACTTTGGAACCAACGTCACTTTCTGATGGTTTTCCCTTAGACCAAGAAATTCCAAATTTTGGTTTTCGGAATTTAGGAATTTTAACTGTAAACTCTGTGTCACCCACAGATATTTCAGCAGCTGGTGTTTTCCCTCCTGGCTTCAGACTTCCTTGCTCCAAAGAACCATCTTCATTTAAAATTTCGAAATCTGTTACTGAAAGATTCTCATCAGCAAGACATGATATTTTTGATTCAGATTCTGCTAGATTCATTTGATATTTAGTAAGAGTAATATCCCCTTTTACTAATGGGGAATCCTGTTCAATTTTAGAAGAACCAATATCAACTTTGGAGAAACCCAAGCTAGGAATTCTGAATTTTGTATTTTTAGAGCCACTATCTCCCTTAGTGTCAGGAAGTTTGGATCCGACATTGCCTGAAAAAACAACAGGAGTTTCCTCAGTTACAGAATAACAAAGAACTTCTGACACAGACATTTCACCTCCAGACTTACTCGATCCCTGAGGTTTAGAACTTTTAGAAAGGGAAACCTTAGGCATTCTAAATAGAGAACTTTTAGATTTACCCATCTCATCCTCTTTTCCAGAAGAGGAATCTGTGAAAACTTCAAAAGTGGGCACTTGGATCTCGGCTGCGGGCAGGGTCACGTTGACTTCGGCGGTTCCCGCGGGCACCGTCACTTGGGGCTCCTTGAGGCTGACGTCCACATCAGCGGCCACGGTGCCCTTGGCCTCTCTGCTGCTGGACCAGCCAAAGGAAGGCATGCCGAACTTGGGCATCTTGAACTTGCCGTCCTTGGTCTTTGCGGCCTCCTTCTCTGGGGCTTTTGCTTCCCCTTCGAGGGTGAGGGCCGCCTCGGGCGCCTGCAGGTCGACGCTGGCCTTTGGAAGGGTGACGTCGACGGACGGGAGACTGATGTCCACCTTGGGAGCTTTGATGTCAGCTTTGGGCATTTTGAGGGAGGGCTTCTCCACCTTCCAGCCGGCCCCTTCGGCTTTGGTGCCGGGGATGTCGGCTTTGAGG